ATTTTTAGCAACAATATCGACTGACCCCACGACGTTGTAATATAATTGTGGGTAGGCTATCACTTGATGTATAAGTTTTGAACGGTAGTTTGTAAAAATAATTACATTCTACAAACATTATACGCTCCTACTATGCAATTACTAGCCTCTGGACTAACTCCCAATCATCTGTCCATATAATGCAAATGGTGTTTCTGGACAGATAGATGGTGTATGATGCCCTCATGCTAAATTCAGCGATCTTCATGCAGGCCTTTTTCTCTTTAGTGTTTACGTTCAGGTGGTTCATAAAGGTTTGGAGGCTGCAGTTGTAAATGCCTCGAACTCGAACTCGAACTGCTACTGTGTGGAGCTTGCAATCTCTTCTGTCAGCTGCTGATATCTCTTAATATTCTTTTCTCTTGATCAGCAAAGTTCTCTTTATTTCAGATGCACCTTCTTCGCTTTATCTGAATAGATTACTACATCTGGTCTCAGTGGTATTACACTAATGTAATGTCTAACAATAACGTTTATAAGTGCTAAAATTTCGAACTAGCTGACCATATTCGGAGGAGAAATTTGGGGCAGTTTTTTGCTTGGAAATACTGATTTAATCGAATAAATTTCTCCTCCGAATATGGTCCGCTAGTTCGAAATTTTAGCACTTATAAACGTTATTGTTAGACATTACATTAGTGTAATACCACTGAGACCAGATGTAGTAATCTATTCAGATAAAGCGAAGAAGGTGCATCTGAAATAAAGAGAACTTTGCTGATCAAGAGAAAAGAATATTAAGAGATATCAGCAGCTGACAGAAGAGATTGCAAGCTCCACACAGTAGCAGTTCGAGTTCGAGTTCGAGGCATTTACAACTGCAGCCTCCAAACCTTTATGAACCACCTGAACGTAAACACTAAAGAGAAAAAGGCCTGCATGAAGATCGCTGAATTTAGCATGAGGGCATCATACACCATCTATCTGTCCAGAAACACCATTATATGGACAGATGATTGGGAGTTAGTCCAGAGGCTAGTAATTGCATAGTAGGAGCGTATAATGTTTGTAGAATGTAATTATTTTTACAAACTACCGTTCAAAACTTATACATCAAGTGATAGCCTACCCACAATTATATTACAACGTCGTGGGGTCAGTCGATATTGTTGCTAAAAATCAGGAGCAAGCGTCTTGAAACAGGATACCATGAATCTGTATAAGTTTTAAGTAGTTTCATTCTACGTTTAATATTATTATTGGGTCGTTTACGTTAAAGTTATATTTGGCCATTTTATAGCCTCCCCTCAAAAAGCCCACAATTACTCAATATGTAAAAGAAGAATATCCTGTTTTATTAGTGAACTTGAATATCTTGCAACTTGTTAAGACCACATTAAAATGCTTTGATATAGACTTTACATCATGCCGGATGTACCTTCAAGAACTTATAGAAATCATGTATCTAAAAGAGAATGATGTAGAGGGGGATGATTAGTAGTTAGAAATCGGATCGATGTAGCAGAAAAAAGCAAACCCTAGCAAAGAGTGCAAGTGTTTTTATAACCAAATTCAGACAATTGTCTCGCCCATCGCCTGAGATTTTAGGGTTTTTAACCCCTATCACCCATGAACCGGGTGCTTCAGGATTTATACCGAAACCCATATTGGAAGAAAACACCCGATCTACAACATCAAAGCACATTTGAATAACTTGAGCACAAAACTGGTCAAAAAAAGACCAAAGTTGTTGCCCAATTTGGCATTTTTCCTCACGCGTGTAGTCAAAATGACCGATTTTTGTCAATATCTTAACAAATAAGCATTAAAGGGCTTATATTGCTTTATAAGTTGTATATAAATGTGATGTTTGCGCTCATTTTAAGCTAAAATTCAAGTCTCTACGATCTTCCTAGTTCAAGTTACCAAAATTCAGTCCCATTTTTGGTTCGCTGAGCCAAAAAACAGTTTTTTGTCAATATCTATAAAACAAAGCACTGGAGACCTTATGTTGCTTCATAAGTTGTATATAAATATGGCTATTGCGGTAATTTTAAGTCAAAATTGAAGTCTCTATGACCTTCAGGAGCCGAAATACGAAAATCTCGTATACGCGACTGAGGGTAATTTAGAAAATTTGCCCTGAAGGGTTGTCTCTAGCGAAACAAATTGTGCACCCACACGATTTTGGTTAAGAATGACCTAACAAACAACCCTGTGTTGTCAGAAATAGTACACATCGAAATGCACACTCAACTATTCCCTGCTACTAGAGTAACAGTTTCAGAAAATTCCACCCTTATTATCAAGTTATCAGCTTCCGATAACTAATTTCGACTTTTTATACCTACAGTTATTTTCCATAACAGAACAAGACAGCCCAGTGAAATGAACCAGGTCCAACAAAATGACGGAAACCTAGTCTGGAGTCAAATAGTTTGATGATTTAAACACGTTTAGAGCCTATACAGGTTTCATTCTTTAGTTAAGCTGTTCTAAAGACTTCTTCAGCCAACATTCCATTCAACAAACATACCATGGCAACCAGTACCAGTAACCATGGCAACTAATACTCGTTGTCAACACTACTAGAGTATCTCTTATAAATCTCAAACTCTAATAACACGTCCTGGTCATCGTCACGTGACTTTTTAATTGTTGTGTGTGTGTGTCTTGAAAGAAGAGAAGCCGAATATAACAGGATAACCAGTAAATCGTTAGAAACCAACAAATTGTTATACGAAAGTTTAATGAGTGGGATACCACGCTCTGTTATTGAAGCGTTTTAAAATTTAGGAATATCCTTTAATCGGAATTTAGGAAATTTACTTAAATAAGCTGTGATTACTGGAAACTTTGTACGATTGGTAGTATTTTCTACAGAATAGTGCTGAGACTTACGTTATTCAGGAATTCATTTCAATGTAATCACGAGAACAATTATACTACTTTGAGTTAGACCAAATTGATATCCAGTATTCTAATGTGTGTGCTTCTCTATACTATAATAGTCAATGGTTACTTCGTATCTTCAAACGTCTTTTCTTTTAAGTTTCAAACAGGTCCTGTCGGCAAGATATTAGTTTTTACACGCCATGAAAAATAGGCAAAACCCAAAGAAATTTAAAGTGAAAATTATTTAGCACTAATAACTTATTAGTAATAAGTCCTTCTCCAGTTAGTGAAATTATCAAACCCCATTCTGGCGACGTTCTAGAACAGAACATTAATCATGCTAATATATTACACATTATATTATATTATTATTATTACACATTATATGGGTTTGTAGCCTATCCCGAAATAACAGTATCCACCGATAATCTTACTATATTATCAAAACTTATCTAAATATCACGTATTAATTATGATATAATAATAACCACACCGCTGTATATTTCTGTGGATGATGTACAAGTGGAGGTGTGGAATCTGCTGATTGTCACCAGCTACTTGTATAGGTTTCTTGTACCGAGATAGCTTCATTATACAACATAATATGTTTTTATTACCAAGGGAGATACGAATTTAATCGTAAAATTTCATGTTTTCTTCACAGCGATAATGGCTAAAATGGCTAAAATAGCTATGCCACCACCGAAATTTTGCTATTAGCTTTGCAGTCCTAAGCTGGGTTTGGAGGCTTTAGGGGATTCTGATTCTCCTTACTTTGTGCTTCTCTGACATACTCGACAGTTCCTGGGAAAATATTCTTGGTATTATGGTTAAGTCCAGTGCTTAGCACTGAGTGCTATTACAGGGAAATTCAATGTACTCAAACTAGGATTTGAGTGGTCATTATGAGATCAACCCACAATGATGTGACGTTGGTACTGCCTACTGCTGCATTTGAGATCTTGTCTCTGGTCACATGTGAAATTAAGATTTGTTAAAAGTTTGGGTATAACTAAAGCCCAATATTCAATAATTAAGAAGTTCTAGAAAGTATTATCGAATGATATAAGTTTAAGGACGTTTTTTTTTAGTTTTTTAAGGGGCGACTTTGGTCACCGTTTAAGGAATGACTGGCTGGCAGAAGGGTGTATCTGATATAAAAAGGATACCTACCCTTGTTAATGTTACAAGTATCAGCCCAGCAACAGTATTATATCGCCCCCAGAATTTGTCAGTTCCAAACACTACGGTATTTGCTAGAATACCAATAATTTTACCGGTTGTATTATCGGAGAACTTGTTATAATAAATGTAATGTCTTGAGAATCTCCCTCGATACCTGCAAGCTCTGAAATTATTGAAAACTGTAACTAACCGCCTCGAGTTGAAAAGAAAGTTTAAGGTTTCCATATTCTAGAAGTCTGTAGAGTACAAAACTGTCGAAATGAAGCCCTGGCAAAAAATTAGAGTATTGGGAATAATAGGAATTAAGAAAATGTGAGATGTTCTAACTATTAAATACCTGCTGTGCATATTTCAACCAGGGATATGTTTACACATTTCCAGCATAACAATACTCACTGTATTTAAACAGTTGTAACAATTTAACTAGAGAATAATACGCCTTGCCTGTAAACAGGGAGACTGGAATTTACAGGTCAAGTTGGATATTTGAAGAATGTGTAACTCTCTGAGTTCTGACTGAGTCTAGATATTGAGGGAATGATGTATCGCTATAATATCGAGAATGGCGAAAATGTCAACCCCAAATTTAAATATAAGTTATGTAGGTGTAAACTGTGAACACGGAGATCATATTGGAATTTACCGGTCAATCCAGGTATTCCGAGTATGTGCTTTCTAAGAATATATAGTCTGGTCCAACAGACCTTACTATATTAACATTATCATAACGCAGACTTTTGGACTTTAACCTTAACAAGAGACACCCCCCCCCCCCCCACCCCCCGGTATGCAGCATTGCAGATATGATCACCAGGTATTTTGTTAAGGTTCCCTGTGGACGAGCAAGGCTACGTTAATAACCTAACATACCCCAAATATAGTATAATTGTATAATTATACAATTATAATTATGATTAATAATAATTTAATATTAATTTCAGGAGTGTCTACGACTCCATGACAACGCATCAACTGATACGGGGAGGATCGCTCAGGTATGTTAGCTTCGTTAGCTTCATTATACACAAATACATTTATTTTGTTGATAATAATGTTGTGATTGCATAATTCATTATTTCAGTATTATGTAACGTGATGGAAAAGTTTTAAGCGGGTAAAAGCCAGTCCAAACCCTGGCTCCATAACATGAAGGCCCCGTTTTAATTCGTATTAAAAAGCATAATCTAGGATAGTTTGTGAGGAAAAAGTCAGACACAAAACAATTAACACACCCGGTGTCGTCGAACACTGAACACGCCTTGGTTCTTGATAACACTCCTTATATTAGATGTATATAATAATAATAATATGTTAGAAATGTATGATAATATGTAAGGTATGTATAATATATTAGATAGAATATCTGCTAGTCTAGACTGTACAGCTCACATAGACCAGTGTTAATGATATTGATACAGGGGGAGAGGGGGCCAGACTGGAGTCACATACTTTCTCTTAATATTTATCTATCAGATATTAGAAATAGCCCTATATTTACCTACTAGATATTAGAAATAGCCCGATACTATATTATCAATACTATATTAGACCTGTAATATGCATGGGCTTGTCCTTCACTATCCTCTAGGAAAATGTCCAGAACAGCTAAATAGGTCGTTAAAACCTAGTTAAAACCAGTTAAAAGTCCTACGGAGAGTCTTTATCTCCAGCGTAAACCCAGGGAACAAATCAAACTAAAGCTTATTTTACATCGCTCCTATTGCATAACGAATCATGTTAATATGTATTTGCTACGCTCGCAAACCTATAGACCTTACTTTTGTAAAGCTATGCATTCTAAGCGAGACATATGAATGAATTTAAAGATCGTTCAATAAAGTAAAGTCGAGCTGTATCGAATTTTGTTTACATTGAAAATAAAATGTTAAACCGTTCCAAGTCATGCTGTTCAATAAGGTAATGCTTGATTTTATAGACTGCAATACTATGGAATGTGTAAAACTTGAATGAACCGCCCATTAATGATATAGTTTACTTTTGCGACCACCGCTTCCAGCAGCGACCGTTCATGATTTGACTAGAAAATCACATTGCTATCTGAGAGCCATGTAATGAAGTAAAATACCGCTCTTATCAATAAGAATTATTATAAATTCTAAGCATATTTTAAATGTTCGTTTTTAACTCGCGATCATGCTCATAAGAATGCATAATGGCAGCGCATTCTATGTTGTGGAGTTACGTCCATCAACATGAAATTAGATAATTGACAATTTTACACTACAACTACAAGTAAAGATAACTCCATTTTCAAATTGAACCATTCTTAGTTTCAAGTTACTAGAGTATTACAATATATCATGTATTCAAGTGTTGAGGAGAACTTAAGGACAATTATAATTGCCACGAATCTGCCATTCAGTAATGATGGACTGTGCAGTTTGTAGCTATAACAGTCTACACGTATAAACTTGTTGACAAAACGTTTCTAGTTACAAATGGTCGCATAACCATGTCAACTAACCTGGTCTCAAACAACCTAGAGTTAGCAAAAGCAAAGCTGCACAATGGCAGTCCGTAGCTGATGTCATAGCCTTCAAGCCAGCGAGCCACACCCTGAGTCGGTCCCTCTTCTACCGTGCAGAGCGCCGGTCCCGCCCCTCCATCAGACAGGTGTTTGGGGACCTGTTCGAGCCACCGGAGAGGAACTGGAGTGGGACCCGGTCACCTAAGACGGTTAGGTTCGAGCGGTTTGGGAGTCCGCGGGGCAGTAGGTGAGGAGTGAGGAGTTTGCTGGAGTGTGGGTATCTCTTTGAGCTTTTGAGTGAGGAGTTTGCTGGAACTAGCTGTGTGAACATCTCTTATGCACGCTCTATCGTGCAGGCTCTGTTTTAGAGGCTGACCAGCTAGGCTCTATCTGGAGTCCACTTGGTCATGGTTAGCTATCACAAGGAGGAGTTTTCAATTCTAATAGTGTGTTTATCTTGCTGTAGTGTTAGAATACTTCGAGTGCTCATTTACATATTATTATATTTGCGTGTGCTCTGAATCTGAACTTCCAGCTATAATGATTGAAATAATAAGTTATTGATACAGTATTAATTACTGTATTTAATGTTTGTGAATCCTGTTAATAGTACAGCAAGTATTTGGCAGAAATTACTAAAATATCCAGCTTGGCAAATAGTTTCCTCCTTGCCACAACTCTCCGCATTCCGCACGTTCCAAATCCCCTGGGAGATATTCCTCACTGTAAACCACAACTGTATATCTCATAGTTATCGTGGGTTGACTACTCACTACTCACTGCTGAGACCACCTAGTTTATATTCTTTCATTTTGTTAAATTGATCGAAAAATGTACTTCTATGTCATCAATTGAGATCTCTGAGTAAAATATATCTATAAGATCGCTGTAAGGCCCATATAAATCCATGAAGGTGTCAAAAGCGGCGTAAAGTTAAAAGTATATTGAAACTTGTTACAATTCACTGCTACTTCTGTAACTTTAATTGGCAGTCGACCAAGTTCGCTGTTAATTCACAAGAATACGGTGAGTCGAATTTTCAGCAACAAAATGAGAGTTTATCTTGTTCTCCAGTTAACTTCTAGAATGAAGAGAGCAAGAGATAAAAAGCAACTACTTTTGTTGCTGGTTCATCAGCTCTACTGGTAGATTATAGTTTGAGGAGAAATGATCAGACTCATGTCGAAGTATTGGTCATTATATAATGGGTATAATGCATCTACAATTCACGTGCACGTGTGTCGACCTCAAGACATACTTTTGTCTCATTAATCAATCTCTAATCTTAGTATGATGAGCTCAAAACGAGAACACTGAACGCCTCAAATATTGCCGCGCTTATTTTTAAAATGTCTCACATTTTGAGAGCACCGTGCTCCATTGTTTTATCTCCTCCATTGTTACAGCTCAGTTCATCACAGAGTCACGTGTTTAGTCACGTGTTCACTGTGTTTAGAATGTTCTGAAGGAAAAACTCGCAACTTTAACAGCTTCCGAGATTGTACCGGCAGACAAAATGTCACGCTTTGCCTTTCGTGCCATTGTTTACAGTGAAGGAACAAAAGTATGTCCATATAAAAAAAGAAACAAAAGTATGATTGTGCGGATAGATTAAATATTAAGTATGTACAAGCTATGAAATGTAGATGTGCAAAGTCTACATCGTGATACACTATATTAACTGTCATCAGACGTGATTAGCACGTGTTTATCACGTGATGAACACGTGGTTAACACACTGTTATTTGGTATTGTGTTGATGTGATGATGTGGGACTCAGGGGGATTACAGTGTTGTCAGATAGAATTGGTGTCCAGCTTGTTCCTATACAAAAGCAAGGTACTTAGTCGACCAATGTAGGTGATTAGTCTAATTACATACAGTTGATAAGGACTATTATATTGTGTACCGTGTCAAGTTCGTGTACAAAAGATAGTTAGGGTACTTTGGGTACTTACTACTTAGGGCTTTAGAGGATTAGGTGAAGGTAACGTACCTCATGGTTGGAATGTACTACCGACTAGGCGACTACGTCTTGCAAGGCCTTTAGAATTAGACATTGGCATAATCACAATGCACATATCACATGAAGAAGATGGTATGATTCCCAACCCTGCTATTTATATGGTACTGAATAAAACCATGTTGAACTATCATTTCAAAGAACTTTGACAATGCAGGACAGTAAGATACTTCGTCATCATAGTTGTTGAGTGCCAATGGATCTACCAAATAGGTTTCTCAGTAGACCAAACAGATAGTTGTAACTGTAGATCATAGGTTCCGACAACAAGAGTGCTGCGGCCCGCCCGCTCACCTAATCACTTGTTAGACTCCGCCGCAACCAAGCGACTAATAGTGACTAGTGAGGGGTTAAGGTACTATACGGGAATCCGGAATAACTCTCTCTAAGGATTTAACCACCGAGAACTATCACTTACACGAAGAAGTGCTGCCTAACAGAATAACTTAAGTTATCTGTTATTAGTAAACCATAACAGTGACAAGTGAAAGTAATAATAGTTTCCCAGCTTTGAGTTTCGTGAGTTCAAATCTCAAGGGATAAGTAAACCTTACTTGTGTAACTTATGTAATCCTTACTTACAATATGAATTAAGTAAACTTTATGTAAGTAATTTACGTTAACATAACGTTTATTCATTTAACAAACCTGTAGTGTATACTTTTAGTAAATCTAATGAGTAGGATACAAGGATACAAGGATACAAGGATACAAAAGTGATAATTATTTTATTGAATTCACAATAGTTATAATTCTTCAAAATAATTTAAGGTTACACAATTCTAGTTATTTACAGATGTGTAGGGATAAAATAGAAATGTTTAATATAATACTATTTTTGAGGTCCTATAGCATTATGCATTGGCCAGTATTTGAGTGGAAATCTGGGCTCTTATAGTAGGCTGTAAAATTTTCGTTCACAGAGAGAATTGAATGGATTGCTCTTGCTGTGGCAGTAAATTTTGTAGGGTCTAGTGTTTTATCGGATAGCAAACCGGCTAGGTCAGTAATATTTTTGGGATGGAAGTTAAATTTTTCTCTAACTGAGGAGTAGAGTAAACAGTCTGTTAGAACATGAATTTCGTCCTCAATAGGCTTAAGCCCCTTGCTGAAGAAGCAAAAAGTGCACCATCGATGTTCTCTTGGTACTAGGGGGGTTTCGTAACGGCCCCTCTCAATGTAAAGATTGTGGCAGCTAATACGAAACCTTGTTAAGCTTTTCCGAGCATCGGGGATCTTAACCACTCCTAAGTATGTTTCTGGTTCAAAATCATGTTTAATTTGATTGTAGAATTCTAATTTAGGTGAGGATGCCTTGGCAGATTTCCAGGTATCCACAAATTCTTCCCTCATGTTGTGACTGATTTGGGTAGAGAGCTTGGATTTTGAAGAGGATGAGTGGGGGAAGTTATATTTGGTGAGAAGATTAGAGATGTTGGTGTACCAAGGAAGGCCCAGCATAATCTGCTCGTGAAATGCAGCGGAGAGAAGTTCATTTTCAGTGCTTTCAAGGCGAGTATAGAAATCTATTGCAAGTTTGCAGGCTTCAAAGAAGAGGGGGTGGCGCCCACTTTCGCCCCAGCAGCCTATATTTGATGCTTTTGAATGGACAGACAAGGACCACTTGATAAACTTAAGGTGGAATCTTTCATAGTGGTCTTGTGAGATGTACCTGAGAGTATGCTGGGGGTTGGCTTTGCTATCTGTTTTGGAGAGGTATCTCATGGTTTTTGAGTGAGGACATAAGATTTGGCAGCCATAGAGCAGTATCGGTTTTATTAGAGAGTCAAATAGAATGTTCAGAGAACGGTGAGAGAGGGCATCTTTGACGATATTGCCTTTGAGGCCATAGAGAGCACGGAGAGCCTTCGCCCTCAGTTCAGTATTTGCTGCTGTAAAAGATCCATTTCTGTGGAATATAATGCCAAGATAGCAGTATTTGTCGGTGTGTTGGATGGGCTGGCCTCCCAAAATGAATGTTTCATAGGATTGTTTTCTTTTAGGAGGGCAGAATATGAGAATCTTGGTTTTTTTAATGTTTACTTCAAGGCCCATAGAGTTACAGAAGTCGAATAGGATGTTTATATTGTCTTGCAAGGCCTTGGGACTTAGGGCAAGTAGGACAAGATCGTCAGCCCAGAGCAGATGTGATATTAGGACGTCAGCTAGAATAGGATAATCACCAACAGATTTCAGGAGAGATGACAAGTCGTTGATATAGATTTTAAAAAGGTCCGGTGATAGAGGGTGTCCCTGCTCTGTTCCTTTTCCAATGTCAATATTAGGGGACAAGAGTTTGGAGATTTTTATATGAGCTATTGAGTTTCTATACATATCACTTAGGCAATTGAAGAAGTTTCCAGTTATTCCAAGGCATGTGATTTTGTGCAGAAGGAGGTCCCTACATACAGTGTCAAAGGCCTTTCTTAGATCAACAAAGCATGCATAGAGACGAGCTTTCTTAACCTTGGTATATTTGTCAATGACTGTCTTAAGGGTAAAAACGTGGTCATTTGTTTGAGCACCCTTCGAGAACCCTAGTTGTTCTTTTGGGTCAGGGCAGTAGAGCTTTTTGAAGTGCAGGAGACGCTCAAGTAAGATGCTAGAAAACAGTTTACCCATACAGCTACCAACAGCTATTGCTCTGTAGTTGTCCGGGCTGAAAGGGTTGCCAGACTTGTAAATAGGAGTAATGATGCTGGTGTGCCATGGATAGTAACCGGAGACCAGTGAGTGGTTGAAGTTTTTGAGGATGGCTTTGAGACAAAGCGGAGTTACGCTCTGAAGCATCTCGTTGGATATCAAGTCGTTTGAGCAACTTTTACCTTTTTTGAGATTTTTGATGGCAGAGGTCACTTCAGATTCTGACATGAGCTTATTTAGGATATCCAGATCTGGTGGTTCAGGGTAATGTTTGTGATTGTGGTGAGTGAGATCTGGCTCCTGGTCTGGTTTTTTATAAAGGGATGCAAAGAAGTCATGGAAGCTAGCTAAATCAAATTTGTCAAGTAAGGGGCTAGTGTCATGTTCTTGTTTAAGCCGTTTAAATTTTTTCCAGTCGAGTATGTGACCTTCTTCTATAGCTTCATTTAACTTCTTAAGGAAAGCTACTTTCTTACTGTTTACAAAATTGCTATGCTTGTTGCGTTGCTTAAAGTATTCTAGTCTGAGGATACTGTTACAGTGCTTACTACCAAGCCGATTTGCTAGCCTATTAAGGTTCCGCCGCGAGGAGTTGACTTGTGGGTCGAACCATTTTTTACGGGCAGAATTTTTGGGAGGCTTTTTCACTTTTAAGGCTATATCAGCAGCACTGTGGAGACATTTTATGACTGCATCGTTCAGTTCGTGATTGCCCTCGGCCTCCAGAGTACTGCTAAATTCATTTGTCACAATGCTTTCCAGATTGTTGATAATTTCGGGCGAGGTAAGGGCTTTTTTAAATAGTGAATGGGAGGTGTTGCTGTCCCACTTATAGCCACAAGGAAAGTTAGAAAAGTCTGGGAGCTGGAAGTTTGCGACAAATGGTTCAAATGTAGTGAGTTTCAAGACTAATGGACAATGATCAGAGTATGATGTAAACTCTTTTACTTGGAGAGAGTTTACATGATCTCTTGCCCATGAGGTGATTACAAAATAGTCAACCACACTGCTTCCATTGTATTTGTGACAGGTCATTTTTCCAGTGGTGTCCCCAAGGGTACGACCATTAAGAATTTTGAGTTGGTTATTGATAACCATGTCAAGGAAGTGTTGGCAGTGGGGTTCAGATATTGTAAGGTCAGAATTGTTTCTTGGTTCTTCTATGTCGTGCTCGAGTCCAATGTCGTTATAGATGTCATGGATGGCAGGTGCATTACAGGAAAGGATATAGTCTGGGAGTTTTCCAGTTCTTGCATTTGCATCGCCACACATAATAACTTCTCCCTTTTGACGTAGTCTGATACAGATAGAGTCAAGAGCAGAGAAGGTATTAGCAGTATAATCTGGATTCTTCTTGACATAGGACGAGTATGCAGGGCTAATATAATAACATACCAAAAATAGGTCAAAATCAAGTTTAAAAAAGTTCTTGTCCAGTTTAACAACAATAATGTCATCAGATTCATTACAAAGCACACTAGAGACACCTTTTCTTAGGTCATTTTCAGCAAGAATGCAGACCCCTCCTGAGCGTGAATTTTTGCGGTTGCTATTAAAAGAGAGGTATCCTTCAATCTTAACTTGCTTCTTTGTTTCTTGAAGACAAAGAATGTTAGCTTGTTTGAGGATTGACAAAAATTCGCTATTTTCAAATTTGTTAGACCCGTCTCCTGTGCTGTCCTGGATGTTCCAGGACATCACAGCGACTTGATCTCGTGATACTTGTTTTTTCTTGAATTTTAGGGTTAATCTAACGCTCTGTAGGGGGCTGCTTTCTATGGGATCTCATACCAAAGGCACGGTATAGGCCAAGTTTAATATTCAAACAAAGTTTTTTCAAACCATACTCTGAGACATGAAGTTGGTCCTCCTTCAACGGGTTAGGAGAGTCTTGGGATGACTCAGCAGCAGAGATGGCACGGGAAAAGTTTCCAGTATTGTTTACAGTATATAGGCGGCGGTAAAAGTCACTTAACCCTCTTTTAGCTGAGACAAATTGGGTTATTTCTGAGACAAATTGGTTGGTAAGATCACTGATTAATCCAGGGGTTGGGGTGGGTAGGGAGATGACAACCTTTGCACTGGAGCTCGAGAGGAGTTTATCGATGACTGATTTTGCATCCTCAATCGCTTTATTAACAGAGCAGGTTCTGTATCTGTAGTCATTGACTCCAAGCTGGAGAATGTAACAGTCGACCTCTGGCTGTTTAATGACATCTCTCATACAGTGGTCTTTTATCATGTCAGTATAAGAGCCTACTTTCATTTTTTCCACCTTGAACCCAGAGGAAAATGACTCAGGTAGAAAGTTGTTCATCTGGGAGTCATGTAGGAGTAGAACCTTTTTTGGTTTTCGCGATTGTCTACTAGGGCTGTGGGTTGGGTGGTTCTGGTTTTGAGGATGAGGCGATGGCCTTTTTTCTGGATGGGGTGGTGCGGTCATTAAGCTGGAGAGACTGTAGGCAGGCCTTAGAGTCATCTACTTTGTTCTTAATTGCAGTGACATCTGCTTCGAAGGCTTTAAGGGAGGTAGCAGTTTCATGTTGTTTTTCGTTTATGCTGCTCATTATATCCTCTAACTTTTCAAGTCTCTTGTCCATAGTGTTGAGTTCATTAGACAGGTTAGGGGGGCTGACACTACCTTTTTGATTGGAATTACTGTCAGAACATAAGACAAGTGTTTGGAGGGTGCTATGTTGTAGACTTATTTTGGATTGTAGATCAATAACAGAGTTTTCCAAAGTTTGGAGGGAATGGGTAACGCATTCGGGCTCAGCTGAGACTACTGGAGGCTCAACAAGAAGCGTGCTCAGGCGTTTGTGACATGCTTTCGCAACTTTCTTCAGTCTTTTCTTACAATCCAGAGGGGTTCCAGAGTTTGTGCTGCCATGGCGAGAAAGTTCGCTTTTCACAGGTTTTGTCTTTCATTAGATCAATGGCTTCAAGCATGGCTTCTATGCTGAGAGGCAATGTATCACTATCAGAGACTGATGTTTTGCTGCTGGTTATGGAAGGAGAACTACTGGCCACTGGAGACCCAACTGAGCTGGTGTCAACTTGTGAGAAGCTAGACAGAGACAAGGAGGATCTACGTCTGTTGTGCAGAGGTAGCGATGGTGAGCCTGAGACTCCAGGGGTCTTGGGGGCAAGTATAGGAGTGATAGATATCTCTTTCAGGGGTGTAGATAGGGCACTTCGGTTTCTTAGGAAAGTGGAGCTGCAGGTCCTGTAGGTCACAGAGGTACGTGAATTAGTGATCACATTATCTTTGGGTATTTGGTGCGTATACTTCTTTTGGAAATCAGTACCATGCATTACAAGAACTGAACCCTGGTCGAGTTGGACTGTGATGGCATTTCCAGGGTTCTTAGCCTCTCTGATGAGCATGCAGCGCTGTTGGCCAAGTGACAGAGTAACGACAGGTTTTGAGAGGTCGACCTCTGGCTCATTGTCACTGTGCTCACCACAGGAATCACGTCCAGTCCTATACTGGTTGATCAAAAAGCAGTCAGAGGAGCAATCAATGTTGTTGGGTGTGAAGAGGTTTTCGGCCATGTTCTGATATGCTGCAATAAGGCGAGGACATTGGGAGACAGAATTAGCTTTCATTACGATTCCTGAGAACGCATAGTCTACGGGTCCAAACCATGACGAGAGTCTTGGAAGTGGCGCCTGAGACTGCCTATGGATTGAGTTGTACTGTTTAAGGGTGCCAGTATTTTCGATTTCAGAGGAAAATTGGTCACACAGTTGGCTTGCAAACACATCCTGAAAGAGACTGATTCTACAACCAGAGTCAGGATTGCTAAGCACATAGCATCCGGGCGTTGTGATGGTGATAGGTTTCGTAAAGTCAATAACATTTCCATCCAGGGGAGAGGAGTTGTTTCTCGATCTCGTTGATCGAGAATTATCTTCAGTAAGAGTTCTGTCTTGCATGAAGAATAGATGGTAGGGAGCACATAATGAGATGGGGGCCAGGGCACCATCAAACCAACCAACAGCCTGAAAATAAGATAATGAGAGTAACACAGTTTTGACAGGGGTGAGTGATATCAGGTAAAGAGGTAAAGTTAAACAAAATCATTTTCAAAATAAAATAAAAAAAGGAACACAAGATCTAATTACATGAAAGTTTATGATGTGAATTGGAGAGATGTTGGTGCTTGGTGAAATAGGGGAGGGAGGGGAAGGGAGCGGGGAGGACTGCTATGGCCCAATGTAGAGATATAGAGGTTATTTAGTAAGTCAATAGCAGGTTGGGTGTGGGATTTGAGTACAATTTGTAGAGGAAGGGGAGGCGGGGGTAAGGAAAAGTTTGTATATAAAATATACAGTATATAATATAGATATAGAATATATTGATATATATAGGATAGAATATATATACATGTACACAGTATAATACCACAACACTACTATATAAATACCTCTATTCAAGGATGTCCATGCAGTCCAGAGTACCCGCAACAGGTAAAAGGAGGGAGGGGTAGGGCTAGGCTAGGGTAGGGTAGGGTAGTGAAGGAGAGAGTGTTTGTGTCATTGTGATGGAGATGCAGTGCAGATGTGACATGAATCTAAAGAACTCATCTTATTTCCAAGGCTGATAGCCAGTCTTCTGATGCCACTGGCCCCCAGAGCTCACATGCACCCCGTTACCAAGTCGTTTACAGCTGCATTTCTTGTTGCGGGTACTCTAGACTTCCATGGTACATCCTCAATAAATGTAAGTATAACTTAATAGTAAACCGGTATTGTATACCTTAGATAGATGTCATGAATATTGTATACTTAGATAGCAAAGCTTAATTGAATTCTTTTAGCAAAGCTTTGATAAACCTACAGTATAGACCTTATATCAAAGCTGTATTGTATACATTAGTAAATGTTATGAGTATACACTGCAGTACCTGTTCTGTACTGTACCTATAATAAGAGTGTCGCTATAGATTTCCTCTCATCATGAAACCTCGCACAACACATCACTAATTATAATCCAGGTTGTATACTAATTACTAGTAAGGGTAGTAATTAATATACAATGCGTACATTAATTCACTTAGCAGTAATCTCATTGTACATTAATTTACTTACTCGAGTAATCTTATTGTACTATATTTAAACGTATTGTTCCTTCATTAACCAACCCACACTGGGATGAGTATTGGACTATTGATGTAACAATTGTTCAGAGGTTGTAAAGCACTGTATTGTAAACGAACATGGGATAATAACACTAGTACTGCTGCTGGTATGTAAGGTGAACACGTGGTAAACACGTGGTAAACACGTGGGCACTACCTGTTTTTAGAGAATAGTTTTATACTGTGAAATAAAGCTTTGAGAAACTTAATATTCAGGCTGGAGTTAAAGTACATCGCGTCACGTGTGCACTTTACAAAGCGTGTACTTGCTTGGATTATCTAATTTAGGGAAATATTAGATAGATTTTGTACCGTGACTTTAACAGTTTGAGTAAACCTTAAACTATATGATAATAAATAATGAATATTTAATAATATCATGATTAAAATAAATTATACAAACTGGCAAAGTTTGTCTATGTTTTGCTGTAATAACAGAGGAGCACAGCTCAGGAGATTATGTCATATTACATTAGTAAACTGCATTGTAAAACACACGTTTAGCCATTAAAGTAATTACCACAGTCATTAAAACACTGTCGTCATTAAAGTAATTACTCCAACCATTAGAAGGATGTTGTCATCTTTAATGGACAGTAATCCTCCGGTCCAACGTCAGGGTAATTGATAATTTCACTTCTTGGACTACATCAGGACTATTTCTGTGTGTATTTTCATCTCAAGTCATTTTGTCAGGATCGTGCGTAATTTAAGAGTATTTTGCTGTGTGTGTGCAGTCAATCTCCGTGTAGACAACTACTAAAATAATAGTCTTGTAGTCGCCTAACTGTCCAATCACGATATCATAATAACCCCACGTGACCTTATGATAAACCCACGTGACCTTGTAACGTCCACTCACAGAAGACCACAATATTGACCCCACACACCCTCTGTTCATCACTCTACACTAAATATAAAGCACAAATATCACCCTGCACTTCCAGTGTGTAAGATTAACCTGCTACATGCATATTAAAACTGCGTGTAAGATATGTTACAGTGTGAGGTCTGGCGGGTAGATATTATAGTGGCCTCTTGTGTGTTGTAGGTGGAGACAGAGATACTGGCTCTTGTGTGTTGTGACAGAGATACTGGCTCTTGTGTGTTGTGACAGAGATACTGGCTCTTGTGTGTTGTGACAGAGATACTGGCTCTTGTGTGTTGTAGGTGGAGACAGAGATACTGGCTCTTGTGTGTTGTAGGTGGAGACAGAGATACTGGCTCTTGTGTGTTGTGACAGAGATACTGGCTCTTGTGTGTTGTAGGTGGAGACAGAGATACTGGCTCTTGTGTGTTGTGACAGAGATACTGGCTCTTGTGTGTTGTAGGTGGAGACAGAGATACTGGCTCTTGTTTGTTGTGACAGAGATACTGGCTCTTGTGTGTTGTAGGTGGAGACAGAGATACTGGCTCTTGTGTGTTGTAGGTGAAGACATAGATACTGGCTCTTGTGTGTTGTGACAGAGATACTGGCTCTTGTGTGTTGTAGGTGGAGACAGAGATACTGGCTCTTGTGTGTTGTGACAGAGATACTGGCTCTTGTGTGTTGTAGGTGGAGACAGAGATACTGGCTCTTGTGTGTTGTGACAGAGATACTGGCTCTTGTGTGTTGTAGGTGGAGACAGAGATACTGGCTCTTGTGTGTTGTGACAGAGATACTGGCTCTTGTGTGTTGTGACAGAGATACTGGCTCTTGTGTGTTGTAGGTGGAGACAGAGATACTAGCTCTTTTGTTTTGGAGATGGTCAGGCAATTGCATCACTGCTAAGTGTTATTAAAGTCTCATGTACTTAGAGATTTTGTACTGCTTAATGAATGGGCTTTCATTAATTAAAAGAACAATTGAACGCCTATCACAAATAACTAATTAATTCACGGTCTTGTAGCACGATAGTGGTTGTTACAATCCAATGATAACAATGTAAAAAGACAAAATCAATTAAGTCTTATAAAGTTATAACATCAACAATAGCATCAACAAGTCTCAACAAGACGCGTCCAAGACATGTCCAAAATGGATGAATATTATTATCTAACATAAACTTATTTATAAGTTTTTACTTTATAAAGTATACCAGTAAAAAGTAAAAAGTTTAGCGATAACATGTGCGGTATTGTAATGTACGTGTAACCACTAAGTAGACTGTATCTTTGTGGTCAAGGTATGTACTATTTGTGTACACCACAGGTTGTTGGTGTTTTGCAGTGTAAACTTTACAAACAAACATACTGATGTTTACATGAAAATTGTATTTTTGTGTTTTTGTACAGTCAGTTCACTACTAGAATAATCCACGTTGTAAGCTCGGTTAGTCATGTTTAAGATCTTAATATTATATAGTATGAGAAATTACAGCTAGTATACTAATATAGTGCCTTGGCACAGAGTGGCTTAAGGTTAATGAAAAGGAGATAAGCACCTCAGGCCATCCCAACACCGGGAGTGACCTAGCCTTGTATCTAGTATCTTGTATGAGAAATTAATTAATTCATAATGTAAAATTAATTTGAGTTTTCAACTTTTTATTGTGAGCATTATGAGTGAATATTTCTGCTGTGGAATTTGAATGCTTTTGTAGAATGGTAATGCTTTTGTTACTCTAAAAAAGCTCTTGTTTTGTACCAAAATGTACGAAAGAAAAAAAATGTAAATGGAAATATATTTAAAAATTCAGTCTACCCTAATCTAAATCAATGAGTTCCTTATCAGCTTCAATAAACCAACTCCAGATCACGCAGCGAAGAAAAAGACAACACAGTGTCACCCCGCAAAATCTCAGTAGATAACACTTCATCACGTGATAAAAACCACGTGACATCCCCTCCATCACGTGATGGGAGTGTGTCGAGGAAGAGGACTTTGTCCAGACAGAATACGTTGGAAAGCTTTACTCTCCTGCCTTCTCCCTCGGTTAGTTCACTTTCACTTTCACTTTCACTTTCACTTCACTTTCACTTTCACTTATATCAAGGTGCTGAGTTATCCTAAGATTGGTTAGCTTTTAAACGATTCAGCGCCATAATACGATCCATTTAAAGACCAAGAGAACATGTTACCATATTATACCCACAAGTTTTTTCCCATAGCAATAACAATATTATGTGTGGCTGCTTTGTGTAGTTACTAGTTGCAGTGTTACATATTGTATTAAATTCTGAACCATGTCTTGTAGATTAAACACGCCTGCATTCTCTGAAGAATATACCACAATGAAAGGCATGAATTGTGCTTATTACATTTTGCGCTCAATTTAAATCTATTTCGTATGTACTTAGTCACCGTTAGTTCATCACCCTATGTATAAGTGACGTGCTACATAATATTTCATTTAACCAAGCTGCTTTAGCTTTTAAGGCTTAATGACATACAATATTTTATTATATACCTGGTTTTCAAGTTTTGGATGAAATCTAAGCTTTACAATTAATCCTAAATAGCAAAGATTTCTATGATAACTTCGACATATTATTGTTTAAACATAATATAATATGATAATGATGTTTGTTGGCGAAAATATTGACCTTTACTAAAATGCATATTTGACTTCCACTAAAATACTAATTTAGCCACCGAAATAATTTAACCAACATCTTCCCAAGTTACATAACTAACAATTATTCTAAACCACAGGAAAATATAAAAGTGTACATGTCAGACGGGAACATGATAAAGACAGTGCGAGTAGAACGAACCCAAACAGCCTGGGACCTCTGTCTCTCCCTGGTTATGAAAAGCGACTTGCCTATCTGCGGCAATTGGACTTTAGTGGAACAGATCGTCAATAATTGCTGCGGTTAGTTGGAAATTCTGTTGTTTTTTTATTTTTATTGTATGTTTACTATGGCATGGCTATGTTTGAGTGTTTTTGTTTCGATTTCAGGGGGTTCAACATTTCTTATGGTATTTGTCATGGGAAATACAATGTTAACGCAGGTCAAAATGCTAATTAACATTGCCCATTTAACTTAAAATGTTTGTTGAGCCCCCTGTTACCTTGCGTACAAAGACTCAAAGAGTTTTTGAGTGAAAACAAAAAGGAAACTTTTTAAATTATCTAATAGACAAGACAAAACAAAGACAAAATAAACCAACGAAGAAAGATAAGCGAAACGAGGTTATGGGTAAGTTACTTTTGCTGTGTAGTGTGAAGTGAAAAAGCTGGGAAAGCACTGTTATGAGAATTACTTCGATATTTTTAATGGTAATCGTCGTTTAATTGTCGTTGTGATAATCAAACACTGTCCTGATGAAATTATGAGACTGAATTCTAAAACCCTTATAAAGTGTGGTATTTACAATTTTGGACAATCTTTTCGGAAGCAGTATAATATGAGTTACAAAGCTTTCCTCTCTAATTCTTGACATGCTTTACCAAATCATTATTCTGTGGACCAAATCTATAAAAAAGCCGTGTTTATTTGGTAACGCCCTTGATTTTGTCTGATCTAATAAAATTGAACAATTATTTTTAACTGTTTACTTTTCTCTACTGTACAGTGCATCCCTTATCATAACTGAATTACCAATCCCCAGACAGCTGTCGTCCTTATCTTACAGTTTGATTTTGTGTTTATGTCCGCCAGTGCCCATTCCTAATCGGTCAGATGTTGCCATATTGTGTTACAGCCTGCCGCTTCTTCCCACGCGTTCTTACAAATAAAGCAAGAAAGCGTGCTTGCTATTGCTAGTTTATGCAGTATTATTGTAGAGGACGCACTTTGCTCTTAGTGCTTAGTACGTTCGCGCGCACGCGCGTTCTTAGAGTAAATGATCTGGATTTTAGGGTAATATGATGAATGACTCTTATCGCCGCCCGTTGATTTAATCATCGACCATGATACGAATGTCAAATGTGATTATTGTGCAATGATTTTAAACCCTTTATCATTGATCATCAGTGATTTTTGTTCCGTTCGGTCAGAAGCCGGATAACTGACCTGTAATAGTGCGAAAATGAGGTCTTTAATGTTCATGCACTCCATAAAAATATCTATGACGTGAATGTATGTGTGAAAATGATCGTGAGAATAAACTATTTTCTGACTTGACTTCATCTAGACGTTACTTAGCGTTGCTGTTCTATGACGAAAATCATTGACTATCTTAGCGCTTGCAGCTTGCCAGGGTAATCAGGGGGGGCCTAATCAGCAAAAATATTCATTTAAATCTAGATCTTACCCACCACTAAATAGCAGCATCCAAATAGCACTCTCATGACATGTTCATTTAACATCGTGATAAACATGGTCGTATTGTAAGTTAAACCAGTTTATTTTAACACGTTATGGGCGGGTTTTATCGGACGTTGCTGCAAGCTGATGGTTAAACGTTCTCCTGTGTCAAAGCAAACAAACGTCAACGCCCAATGAGCGACCGATCTTATATCGTCAACTTGAGCGTTTCCAGTTTATTTCACATTTCAAGCCGGCACATTTTGACTGACCTGCACTTAACAATTAACATTGCATTTAGTTTACAACCCCATGCATATTCTCCGCAGTAAATCGAAACCAATAAATTAATTAATTACCATGATAATTAACACAGAGAGAACGTTAGAAGATCACGAGATAGTTATTAAAGTGTACAAAAGCTGGGGATCCAACAGTCAGAACAAACTGAGTCTCACTAACAACAAAAGAAAGTGGCAATTCCTGGAAACACCGGAGGTATGTTTGCTCCTTCATAAAAATTGTTATCAATTTTAAAATCGCCCTGCATGCATGGTACCAAGTAGTTCCCAGTTGGAAACATTTCTTTTTATCGCATGTGTGTGACACAGGCAAAAATGAATTGTTTTTCTGCCGCTATCACCTGCTATTAGGGAACAACCAACATAGCATTTAAACAGCAAATATCGTTCACACCAAATGTGGCCAAAATCCGTTAATTTTAGCTCTTGACTGTGTGAGGGATCGTGGACCTGGTTATGGGGTTTCACCACTTAATTTGTTAATCATTCTAAATAACAGAATGAACTAGTTTTCCATTTCAACTATTTTTGGGCTATGAGATATCTACGTGGGCGTGGGTGTTTTCATGATGAACCATGCTTGGTATCTTTATTACAAAAGGTCACCATTATCTAAAAATATTTCCTGTGACATCTACAACAATCACAGCCTCCCACTCCTCACTTGAATTCTAAAGTCAAACTTGTTCACCAAAACTATTTTGTTACGCAAGATGTCTTGGGCGGTGGGCGTTGAAGACCTGGAGACCACCTAGATATGGCGTGGTCACTTCAGAGTCAGCCCACCCACGAAGAAGCAACACCTCGCTCACTCAATGTTTTTATAACATCGTCATAGTTTATTGTGGTAAAGTCGGGAGCAGCATGGAAGGCCCTAAGGTGCCGATAAGAATTATCAGTTGGTGAATTATTTAGGTGGATTTGTCTGGAAGAGGACGATGGTATAATTAAAGTAATCACCACGCTCTTACGCGCCACTTGAATGATACCCACTTAAGGGGGCATACACCAAATCTGACCACCACATCAGCTACACTACCATGATCACCCTAACGTAACAATGCCTCCAACACAAGGCTCTCACTTCCCAGCCTTGTCAGCTGCTGTTACCCTGGTAACCATCATCACCACAGCCACCATTATCCCCGGCTGCACGTGCGTCACTATCGGAACCCACTGCCAGCACCACCGACAACAACTCACATCACTCACGTCAGCATGAGAAATATTAGAATATCAAAGCTGGTAATTTCTCCCAGCTTAATACGTCAACAGACTGATCCGAGGGCCTGAAATAACTATTTTAAAATACACACTCAAATCGTTACGTCAATCTCTTTGCCCTCTCTACTTGGGTGTTTCGTTTATAACCCCTCGTAGAGAGAGAGCGAGAGAGGGAGAGTGATACCGGTTAAATTAAACGTCAATATTATACAAGAATTTCGAAACCCAGGGAGAGAGAAACTGTTTAACCAGCAGTTTATGACGTCCGTTATCTCTATAAAACCTCTGCTCCAACCTTCGCAATCACCACAATATATTTCGCAATATTATTAGTCTTACCAGCTCTGTGGTGATTACTTTATTTTTCTACCCTCGGGACCCCCCATGTTTCAGATGTTTTTCTCCTCGAATGTTTTGGACCGTGTTCGTGGCCGCACCAGAGATGAGATTGAAGAAGTGCTGACTGAGGTTTGTAATCTTGAACCCTCTACGTTAAATGGTTCTCCTTGAGACCTGAATTTTTACCTTATTTGGTTATGTTTTGTGCTCGAAATTTTTACAATGTGGGAGGGCCTTGAGTTTCGTGTTTATAGATTTTAAATATGACATATGGGTGGAGACTGGAGGGCGGGGGCGGTTTGTGGTCTGCCTTTATTTGGCGATGAAATTTGGGTAAAATCTAAATCCGTACTGTGAAATTATATCGGAGTAGTTCACTTAAACCATCATGACGTCGTTACCCTTGATACTGTATGGGTAGTTCAAGGAGTGATCGTTTTGTTATTGGAATCCTTATTAAGCTAAGAAATGAGGATAACCCTTAGGTTTGATAGGTTGAGGTCCCACTTGGCTCTTGTATTGAATGAGAATGGTGGAGGGTGTGTCAACACCGTAACCGCTTAAGTCTCAGTGGACGCCAACCGATTTTAACAGAAACTTTCACAATTTTTAAAATTTTATTATGTCATCTAATTAGATAGTTGTTCTTCTAGTTGTAGCTTCGTAGTGACGATATTATCTTAGTGTACCTCTGAAATTAGATCTTTATTGTGTAATCCATTTCAGGAGTACTTCAGTGAGAAAGCTCCTCCAGTGGAAGGGTACCTTTACTTCAAGGATCAGAAGCACAACTGGAGTAGAAAGTATTTCATCCTCCGTTCCTCGGGTCTTTATTACTCCACCAAGGGGAAAAGTCGAGTACGTTTCTTGTCAATTTTTCTGGTTTTTCACTAACATAGAAACGTACTTTTCCAATTTTACGAAAGCGTTTTTTCAGCTTTTACCCCTAGATTATACCCCAAAACTTAACTTTTCTCACACCTAGCTCACATTTTTTCCACGCCCAGAATACTTTAACCCCTGACCCTCCAGGCACCTCAAGACCTAGCTTGTTTCACTACACTACAAGATATGGGTATATACTTCTGTGTGAACGCCAAGGTGGACCACAAGTCACCGACTGAACACGCTATCTCTTTCAAGGTATTGTTAACATTACTTTCTCTAATCTCTACTTGTTAACATTGATAACATTGTTAACATTACTTTCAGTGTATTTTTAACAATACTTTCTCAACTTTACAATCAACTGCCCTTAACTTTACGGCTTTGAACCTTGATCATTTGTGGTGTTTTTTTTCGCAAAATAATTCACCAGACTTAAGACTAATCTGTTCCCATGACTCAGAGCGTCTCTAATATAGTCCTTATCATACAACCTTAATTTCATTGTACTCACAAAACCTCTCTAACATCAAGTTTTCTTATCTCCCCCACTCAGCCAGGAACAGGAAACACAAGTATGAAGGACATGAAGTGTGTTGGGGCTGAGTCGGAGGATGACATGATGAGGTGGTACCATGCCCTCAGGGTGGTCAAGTACGGGGACAAAATACCCGAGAATAGGGCCTCCGTCTTACTTGAGGTACGTTTTGAATTGCTAGTGACAAAAGATTTTAAACGGTCATCGTAACCGCTAGTTTAGCCTTTTAGCTTTAATTTATATGCCTCTGGTTTTCTATTCAGTGCAGCAGCAGGCAGATATTTGTCGATCTCTTTAATTTTCAGCATTCATCACTCTGTGAAACTGAATAGAATTTAGAAAGATCATTTTTTCAGGTTACTCAGGAGATTGAGCGAGTCCACGAGCAGAAGAAGAAAGCTCGTGACGATGCCTTGAAGAGAGAACAAGAAGAGAAAAGAGCGAAGGAAGAAGAGATAAGAGCGAAGGAAGAAGAGATAAGAGCGAAAGAAGAGGAGGAGCAGCTGGCACTAGAATTAGAAAAGACAATCAAGGATGAAGAGGAAAGGAAGGTTCAGAGACTTGAAGTAATGTCCCCTAAACCGGATATATTAAAGAAGCCCTCTCCCCCTCCACCAAGCCCTAAACCCACCCGATCAGCTCTACAAAAACCAGCTCCTTCACCCAAACCTGTTCCCTCACCTAAACCCGATCTCAGGAAGAAGATGCATCTGCCGGTCCCTCCTGCTAAACCCAGCATGAGTTCCCCTAGCTCCTCTCGTGGATCTCACCCACCTACTCCACAGCCGATCCGACCTACTCCAGCGCCTCCTCCACCTACTCGAGCTCCCCCTGTTTACTCTCTAGATCCTGAACCTTCCTCCTCCAAAGAGTTCACTCCCAACAAATCAGGATTTGCAGATGCTCGAAATCAGCTGGCTCGTTCTCTAAACGGTACTATCAAGAGAGGGAGTGTTAAACAGACTCCTCCTCCTTCAGCTCCTAAACCTATAACATCACCTCCTCCAGGTGCACTTCCCATAAAAGCTGTTCCAGCTCAGCTACAACGCCAACCACCACCCATCAGCCGTCTCCCGGATCCTATAGATGATCTGCCCTTGCCTCCTCCCCCTCCTGACCTGTTACCCGCACCCCCGACCAGCCCTCCCGTTGCTGCTGTGAAGACAGATAAACCTGACATTAACATCACACCAAGCAGATCTAAGATATCTGAGATGGTGAAGAACCTTAACATTCCTCAGAAAGCACCTGATAAGGTAGTTGTAGACAAAGCTCCTGTACCTGAGACCAGCAGTAGGAATATCAACGAACTATCCTCAATCCTGAACAGAACGCTGAAAAAGTCTCAAACTACCTCCGGTTTGACAAACCAACCCCCTGTTCCCCAGAAGTCTTTCAATAGCACCAGCATGTCCAACATGCCGAGATCTCTGACCTGTCCTCAAATGGAAAGGGTGCCTCCCCCCAGTCAACCCAAACCAGCAACACAAAAACCCATTCCATCCTCCACGGTCCAGGACCGAGCTGCTGAGCTGGCGAAGGTCTTAACGGGTAAACAGAAGCAGGCTCCGGTCCTACCGGCACAGTCTCCGTACGCTAACCAACCTCCAGTACCCCCTCCAAAACAGTTCAGCGGTGTAGCTCCTCCTGCTCCGCGTCCCTTCCTACAGAACAACATTCCTCCTCAAGCATTCCAGCAGAGCTCCATGTCTCCTCAATCTCGACACCCGCAATCTGCTCCCCGAGCAAACCCACCTTCTGCCCCCCGAGCAAACCCTCCTCAAGTTCCGCAATCAAACCTACCCCCTCAACCACCTGTTCCGGTGAAACCTCCAGGCGGTCCTATGCGAGCTCCTCCTCCTGCTGTCCCTCCCGTTGCTAACTACACCACACCCGCCCTTCCTTCTCGAAAAGACTCCCTGATGGCCTCCAGGAACCGAACCACCTCCGGGTCAAGCGGTGGATCCCACGGCAGCTCCGCCAGAGCAGGAAGTGTAGCAAGTCATGCTAGTAGTCAGGAACCTCCCAGTTTAGTCAGACCACCTCCCCGCACCATCTCCAGGGACAATCTCCGGGCTGGCTCTAGAAACGGACACCGAGGTTCAAGAGAGAACCTGGCAATGAACACAGCGACCACTGTAAACAACTCTAGTGAACATGGGATACCGGAGATGTTCCAGCGAGGTGGGTTCCCCGGTGGGCAGCCTAACCCTCTCCTCAGGGACAACTCTCCTCATCGCCAGGATCCAGCTCCTAAACACCCACTTCATTTCCCGCCCCAGAGGTTTAACCCACCACAAGCTGCGACCCGGGGTAGAGATTCTCCTGCTAGAGGAGGGTGGCATGATAGTTTAATGAGAGACAGCTCACCTGTCCACCAAGGTATTGTCATAGTAATTAATTAATACGCATCAACTTTTCTTTCCGTTTTTAACCATGTTGCCCAGATCTTATGATTTAATAATCCGTTACAAAATTACACTAGAAAACTTAAACTCACGAGCTCAGATTAAAAAACTGTAAATTAACTATATTTTTCTTTCAGAAGCGCCTAGAGAAATACCTCTGCCGGTCAGTATAAACGACATCAGACAAGTAGGACAGCCGGGGGTACACCCCCGCCAGTTTGGGGGCACACCCCCTCCTCTTATTGGGAACCTGAATACTCGCTCTGGCACCTGCAATCCGGGCAGCTCAGGCAGTGGCGCTAGCGAAGAGGTGAGATTTTCTATGGATATAAGACTTGTTATTGTTAGATTAAATCAACTCAATACTGATTTTTGTAACGTTCACTTGTGGAAATTACCATTACAAGCAAATACCAACCAAGTATACTGGATATTTGCTTTTAACTACAACATGATCCACGGTAGATTTTAAAACCACTCGTTAACAGGTAATGTACGAGTACATTGAGGACGTACCAAGTAAAACAGAGCACCTCCAGCACTGGTTAGCAAACCAGTACGACGACGATACCATCTCCGTCACCAGCGACAACATGATGGCAACGCCCCTCACGCCGCCGCCTCGCAGTAACTCCCGCCGTCAAATCGCCGCCCCGCATACCCAGAAGCCATGGTTCCACGGCTGCATCCCCCGGGAAGCTGCTAACGCTCTGCTCGCTTCACACGGACTAACGGACGGCCTCTTCTTAGTCCGGTCCAGTGCTACCAGTAACGGCGACTTTGTGCTGAGCATGACGTTTGGAGGTCAGGTGAAACACTTTCAGATCACCCAGCGAGGGGGGAGCCCTCCTTGGTTTGCTATCGAGGATGGGCCCTGTTTCCCTGACATTAACAAACTAGTGGACCATTACTCCGTGTCGGCAGATAGACTGCCAGCTAAATTGTCTTGTTACTGTTTAAAGGGTTGAGATGACACGTGACCATCACCAAGTGTTTCTCGTGATGAAGGAGAGGGTTGTAGAGGTTAATGAAAAATCCAACGACTTAATTGATTTTGATAATGGGAGAACTGACGTGCTTCAACTTTCTTTAATAGATGAAAATTGGATTGAACTTAAGATTTGAAAGGTATTACAATTTTGTATCGAGTTTGAATACCGCATCGGTGTTAGTTTGCAGTCTAATCTTTATTCGATATTTTATGATATTTTGTTTTAATTCTGAAATTTGAATGGCATTAACAATACTTACATATTAAAAGTTAAACGATTTGATCGGTTACGTATTTATTACATGTAAAATTAAATAGAATACTGTTACCCAACAATTATATTCTAGCAATTTTATTGTAAACCTCTAATTTTGATACTACGCTTATATTCTTTGAACCCTTCTCCATATATGTTGTAAATGTTATAAGGGGTCGTTCACATATTACGTAATCACTTTTTGAACAATTTTTAACCCCCCCCCCCCCCCCCCCTCCGTAATCAGTTTTACACATAGCTATTGTATCAAAATTACACTAGTGTTATCATTTGGAAACCTCCCCCCTCCCCCACGGTTGATTATGCAATATGTGAACAACCCCTAAGTAAATTTCCTGGTAACTTAAAGTTAAATATCATCGAATGAGAAGTACTTATTCGACACATGCGTAACGTTTCCAATTTGAATTTAGATAAACTATTTTGTGTTAAGGATATCTTAATTGTTGTTTTAATAAGTCAAGAAGAAGAAAAAAAAAAAGGTGAAAAAGCGCATTGCTGGCAATGCAGCCTGAGGTTTTTTAAAAAGTAAACGGGGGGGTTGCAACGACCATTAATGTCAGTAGATGGAATTTTGTCAAAACTGACATTGTCATTAATGGTCATTAATGGTCATTAATGGTCATTAATGGTCATTAAATAATTGAAATTCTGAACTATCTTGGAAGCAACATGTCCAAGAAATTTACAATTATGATGACTGTAAAATAATGTAAAATAATAAGATATACTTGTAGTTAGTTAACTTAAGGTAGGGTCTAAGTGATGCAGGCGTCCGTCCTTTTCGCTCTAAGAAGTGCCGGAAAAAACATGACCATTAATGTCAGTAGATGAAATTTTGACAAAACTGACATTGTCATTAATGGTCATTAATGGTCATTAATGGTCATTAATGGTCGTTGCAACCCCCCCCCCCCCCCCCCCAAGTAAACAATTACTTAGACCCTTCAGATGTCCAGAAAGTAAGTTTCCAGTCTCTAATTGGCAGAGACTGGACTGAAAAAAAGGCAGGAATGTTTTCAGCACGTTTCTGAAGATAAGCAATAAATGGCAGAAGTGTTATTGGTATGTTTTTCTGTATCTGGTTCAGGTGCTTTTTATCTAGATTATAGATGTCTGCATGATGCGTAAACGTTGCTGGTTTCCATGTCCCTGGATAATAAACAGTCCAAACTCTTCCCGACACTGAAATATTATCAAACCCGTTTTTTGAAACGCCATTTTCGGACGTGAGGAGAGTTAGGACTCCTCCAAATACATTAAATCAATTCCTTCTGTTAACGTCCTCAATAAATGTAATAGATGTGTAGTGTTGTAATTAGTTTAAAACATATCTAATATCCACGAACTCTCAGTGCAAGTTTAGTAAATAAACTACATTATATTACGAAGACTGTTTGATAAAAATGACTGTGATTTAATGACTATTATGATACTTAGTCTAGTCTCATTTTAGTTGCCATCTAATCTGCTGCTGTCCAGCTTGCTTGTGATCAGGGCACGTCCTGAATTTGAGACCGGATCATCTGACCTCATTAAGTCATTTATATATATAATAATTAAGACAATAATTGGATCACATTCATGACTGTTACCCAGTTGTGAGTTCTAGGTCACAATTATTAGACCTCATTAGGGCTCAAATCACTGTCAGTACCTTTATTAATTGCGTTACGAATTAGCAATTTATGTCATATAAATAGCTCAAGAACAGCGATAAATTATCCCCCGTTTCAATTACGTCTAGTTTTACTTCCTCTATCGTTTTTCCAAACATGAGTTCTGTAGAGTCCACTGAATACCACCATTCTCTCACCGACCCTGCCCGTCCTCAAAGTGTTTCGAAGAGACGTGCAAGTAGGCTGAAGCGTGCAAGTAAACTGAACCGTGAAAGGAGACTGATGCAGTCGCACAGTTTGAAGTCCACTAAAACAACCCCAGCAGTTGCAGTGTTACCAAAAGATAAGGAGTCTCCTGCTAACGACACAAAATGTTCTGTTGTCATTCCTTCCACCTCCTCTTCGCCGGAATGGGAGTTTCGCGGCCGTGGGATGAAGCAACCCTTTACCCAAAACGATGTACGCGCCTTGAAAGAGAAGATACTTGAGTTAAGAAAGATTGGGGTTTATCTTAGTAACCCTAGAATTGTAACTGAAACTGGCGATGTTTTCCACTTGTTCGACGCGAAAACTATTAGCTCTAATTGATTGTCTTCCCATTCATGTTATTAGTCGGGTCGGGTGTCTTCAAGTGAATTCTAATGACAACAAGAATTGATGCTATGAAGGGCGAAAATGAGAAGTTATCTTATATCAACTTGACAGGGGTATTATTAGTTCATATTACCGAACACAATTTTTATATTATTATAGTTATACTGTATTCGCCTCTGTGATAGCTACATTTTGTTTTTACCAAAGATAATGCTCGTTTTAATATCTACTTTACTCAAATACTCAATCCTAATATCTACGAACTCACAGTAAAGTAAATACAAAATAAACTACATTATATTACGAAGACTGTTAGATAGAAATAGCTGCCGCTAGTCGAGTCTAGTCACATTTGTGTTGCTCATCCCAACCAATAACCATTTAGTAGTTATTTGCATCACCATTTATAGAGTTGGTAACGATAGGTGTCTTCACGAACTGGCATTCCGAAATATCAACCGTTCATGTTGTTACTCGTCCTGCCGATCAATTCCATGTACCATGTTTGTGGATCCAACACAAATGTTCACTTCGGCTTTAAATCTTCACAAATGACAAAAAACTTCATTATAAAATAAAAATTAATACAAACTCTGAAATGCAGGGTTTCACTGAAACCCTGCATTTCAGATTTTGTATTAATTTTTTAGTATAAAGCCGTAGAACATACATATTACATTATACTGGATCGAGCTTACAGTTACACAGTGTAATTTCCTCCAGTCTGCGCCGCGCGCCTATATAAACGTACGCGGCGTAGACTGGAGGAAATTACACTGTGTAAGCTCCAGTGTAATGTAATATGTATGTACTACGGTTTTATGAATCTGCTGTGAACTTGTTGGGCCGTAGCTGTTGAAGAGTGGGATCGAAGTAGATTGCTGATCTGAACATACTTAATTTTTATTAGTAAGAGGGACGAGATTATTATATTATTATATCGTTTAACGGGTGATACTCATTAAATATCTGTTCCGTCGACGAGTCCAACTCGGCGCGCGTCCTGGTAGGTTATAAACCTACAATATATCGTTTGAGTCATGAGTCAGCGACTTTAACGTTCTAAGCCTAAAATACTGCGTTCACCCACTGCGAGCTCTTCACTTGTGACGTCACATGCGCGTCTACTAAAACATTCTCGCGCGATACATTTTGATGACGAGTTATTTCCTTCTGTTTGTCACAATTTCGGCCGCGCGCTGCACAACATTACCCGAAACCGCGCATCAAGTTATGAATTAATTCATATCGTTTGATAAATTAAAGATAACAGCTAATGAATAAAATATTCGAAACGCTTTTCAGGTTAAAATTATACTAAAATTCGAGTAAAATGTTGATTGTTTTGTGTCCCATTGAAAATACTATTTTAAAATTTAAAATTATTGTAACTTTCTCACTGCTGAGCGGTGTTTAGCCTTTTGTTCCGCCATACCTCTATTTTTAATGTTGAATGTGTTTATAATTTTTGACAACTAAAGGCTTACTACCGAGGTCTTTAGGTAATAATTAACAAATACTGAATATCGAAGAGTTTATGTTTTATATTACTTTTCGACCCGCCAATAATCGTTTAAAAAATAAAAACTGTTTATTATTATAAGGAATTTTGACCATTATATATTAACGTGGGTCATCGCCATTTTAAAAGTGTTTTAAATTGTATATTAAAGTTACCTGGTTTAAAATCTTTTTGACATTCAAATGGTTCATGGATCTCAATTTTAAATGCAAAATGCTTATTTTTCTTTCACATTTCAAGGTTTCAGGCAATTTCGGCAAGTAAATATGAAGAAAAGCCTCACATATAATGCATTTTAATACATTACAATATGTAGAACTTTTTATAATCAAAATCTTTTTATAATAATATCATAAGAAATCACAAACCATTTCTAAAAATTTTCTCAGTATACATTTAAAAAACTTACAAACAATAGATTTTCGCGCGCAAACATTTAAAGGTATTTTATGGTCGCATTTGGAAATATTTTTACCCAAAAATACTGTTCGATAAAATTTATTAGCATTTTCAGTGAGAAGAAAGTTTTGAATTTAACAAGAGTAGCACATTTCGGTGGTGAAAAACACTCTGACAATTGGCGTGTGCAGTGCGCGCGGTTAAAGGCATAACAGATCGAGCGCTACCATTAGCATAGCATTTCATTACACAAATGTGAGAGACCATGTTCCGATATCCTTTCTGTTTTGTTCGTAATTTACTTATGTCTCCCGTAATGTTATTTAAAGTAGCTATCTAACCATGTAATTTAACAGGTCTCATCAATGTTTAATTTGATACAGCAGTTTTTTCATGGGATCTTGTTATCCTAACTATTTTGTTTTCCTACTCGTTTTTTACTTTCAGTATTGGTTTTCAGATTTGGAACTGCACAATTGTACAACTGACCACTTAACTCATCATCCAATGGAAGTGTGAACACATTTACCCACCACGGATAATTAATTTATGGTTCAAACATATTTATGGTTTATGCACTATTTAACGTGTCCTAAGGGTACTCATTTTAGATAACAGTCATTTCAGTACCTGTGTTAAAAAAATTTGTGTTTAATCTCTTGCTTGATATATACATGCCTTTTTATCGCTCTACCCTTTATTATTTTCCTGAACTATTAATTCCGAACTATATATTTCAGCTTGTAAAGAGGATATTATTGCCCACGTTAAGGGGCCTGTTAATAATTAACTAAATTATTAGATATTTTAGATTAGATAATAATAATAATATTATAACTTTACTATCACCACAAGAAGCTGACATGTTTATAGATCCAGACTATGCTTAGAAAGAGTTGCCAAGATCACCCTAAAGATCTTCTAATCAAAGATGCTCTCACAGGATGCAGATGGTTTGTCTAGCGAGACTTAATTTTGGATTATAACATATACAAGCTTTTCACATGATTTTGATTGGTACAATTATAGATAAGCGTAAATATAATGACAATCAAATTCAGCCTGAAACGAAATGAATGAGAAAGAACGCCCTGTTCATCGAAACAACATTAATGAACTTGTCAACTATGCAGGTAACTGTGCTATTTTTACTATTTATTGACAATCTCTCAATTGAACAAAAAATTCAATTTAACAATTATTTAAATGTCAATTGGGAGTCCTATGACTTAATGCACCTATTTAGAAGGTGAATAAATTATTGTTTGTGGTTTTTGATACAGCCTACTAAGGACATGTTTTTTAAATGACACTAAAATGACGTGTC